TCAGACAGAGGTGGACGGTTGTCGCAAGTGGCTGAACTCACTAATGCTCTTGGGGCTGAGTGGACGTAAATCTTTGCAGTGATTCATGTCCATGGTTTTGGAATGTCATAGCCACTACTCCATCATCAGCTAAAAGCGGAAAACTAAAAACTGCAAAAGGCAACTAAAGCACACTGTCTGCTGACGGATAACTTCTGGAGTCCATCACCAGTAAAGTTAGAACCAAAACTCTCTTCCCCCTTCCTCACCGCCACTCCTCTGCTAACGGGAAGTCACCTCAGGAGGAGATAAAGGGAGGAATGGAGCGAGAGAGCAATGGGAAAGTGGAGGCCATTTGGGACACTTTATTTGCTACTCCATCATCAAAACTGGATGTGTGTTATTGCTGAAGAAGCGCTAATATAATTGACATATTGTAGCCTTATCCTACAACACAACTCGTGGCCAAAGTTTTATGCAGAGGCAGCAGAAAACCAACAGCGAGTACACTGCAGTTGCTGACTTTAAATAATAACATGACAAGTTTGAAAAGAGGAGGGACTGTGCTCATATTCATGGGATCGTAGGTGCAGGATTAGTATAAGTTACATAGAAGGAAACTCACTGCATTTACTATATTACTGTACAATTTTGAGCTATTTGTACCATTTAAAGCTGCTTTGTACTTTTACATCACCACATTTTAAAGAATTCTAACACATATAGCTTAGATACTATATACATAACATTGGATAGACCAATAAAATATGAATTGTAGATTAAATTACCCAACATCATGTTGTATGCAGTACCTTTCCTCCCTTAACCAGCTATACAACTTTAAAAAGCTTATTATTATCCAATAATATGATCATATGTATGTTTGCTATGTATAGAAATAGTGGAGTAATGGTGAATGCCTTTACCTGTGTTGCTATCGACAAACCACAGAGAGGCTGAATGATGGTGAGATCTTAGTGGAAGCTTCTGTGAATTTCATGCCAAAGCAGAAATTAAAAGAAGATGATGTTATTTTAAGGAAATTAACTTTTGGAGCTCTGCAGAGTTTGTGGAGATATTATATCAGTTGCCATCGTTTGACCAGACTTGTGGTTACTTTGTGGAAAAATGGCAAATGTCTAACATAATAATGTGTGAGGAGAGGCTGTTCTTTTCTGCTTTGGGAATTCAAAAAGGTCAGTTGAATTTTTATTCAAATTTTTGTGCAATGCAGCTTTAAATATAAAACGTTGGCCAGAGGATGAAAGCTCCAGTCGGTCCCCTCTTTCTCACATCGCACCTCAGGTGGATCTGCAGCCACACAGCACTTCCACTGCTGAATGACTACACAGTGGCCAACACCATGTACTGTAATAGGTTTGTCTGCTGATCAATAAAGTTATAAAGCGATACAGAGAGAGAGAGACACGGGGTGAAGCCGAGCAGCCTGCCAGAAGCCGGCCGTGTCCTCGGTCCCTGGCTGAGTCCGCCGCTGCTGTCAGGGTGGTAATATGTCTGCTGACCTTGAGTTTACACTGACAGGAGCAGAGAGCATCACAAACACCGAGCTACTCTGCTTCCAGACGTGTTTTCAAAGTCCAACAGCAAGAACATTATGTTTACACCTACAGCTATATTTATGGCATTTGGCTCTCTATACAGAGAAACTTACAGCGACGCTCAGTATACAAACAGTTTTTAACCAAAGAGTCCCAGTCCTGTCTGTGTTTATGGCACATCTGAGTAATTGAACTTCAGAACGATGATGGATTTAAAGGCAACGGCCTTCTTTAAAACACAATATATATAAAACTATAAAAACTATTTTCAAATATATATAATATAAATCGCTATGAATGCTGTTTTAACTTTATAAAGTAAAAATGCTCTTTAAATATTTAGGATCCCTAAACATCTGTACATTAGCGTATGAACGTGTGTAAATGCCTTTAGTTTGTGTTTGTGATGAGCAGTAGGCACCTTGCATGGAAGCCGCTGCTCTCAGTGTAGGAATGTATGATGCGTCCATTTAGTCCATTGACCGTCCATTTGGTTTTGTCCATTCTGGGCTTCTGTAGAAACATGGTGGTTCAACATTGCGGACTGTGTAGAATAGAAGTAAGAGAAGGTGTATCAACTGTATTTCAGAAGGAAACTTAAGAAAACAAAATTGCCATGCCAAGTTCCTTAGAGAGGATCGACAGAAAGCATCCTGAGTGAAAACATCACAAACTGACATAAATTGTGCATGACCCACAACAGGAGGACACTGCAGCGGGGGATTGAAACCTCCAGCATCAGTGCTATTGGTGAGGCGAGGAACCTGCACAGAGCCCAGAGAGAAGACAGCAACCGACCCAGCCACAGCCTAGTTTTAGTTGTAGCTTTATGTATTTTTGAGTATTTGTTTCTTTTTTGTTTCGTCTTGATGGCGAAGCAATAATACTTAACTGAGGAGGTTTTGGAGTTTTTGTTCATGAGTGACGACGAGGAAGGAGCGCTTTCCTATGGTCTCAATTCTCACTTTTATCAATTGTTTGGATTAATTCACTGACAGATGCTTTTAGTTTAGGTTGGACAGATTTCAAGAAAATACTCCAAGAAATGACATCACAAAAAGTAAAATACCAATGTAGGCACTGATTCTATTGCAGAGTTCAAAGGGTTAAAGGAAAAGAAGGGATTCTACAGCTCGCTCCACCACTGAGGTGAGCTTGCATTCAGGTGTATAATGGCTATTATGAATAATGGCTGCCATTACAACATTTGCCATTGCAGTAACACCAAAGCGTCACGATAACTGAGGGCAAACTTTCTGCCAAACAGCTCTGCGGGAACACGTTCCAACATGGCAACTTCACTGCTAATGACGACTATTTATAAAGACCATTTTCTGGTCACGCTGCAGAACTCAACAACAAAAACAACAGGGAGGTGGTGAAGGAAAGCTCTTCAGTATTCAGGCAGCACTTTTTTTTTGTACTCTGCTCAAAAAACTTTCAAAAAAACTTGAAACGTAGCAACAACCAGACGGAGTTGAATATTCATCGAAGCAAACCGAGGAATGTGTAAAATCTCATCTCTCCTGTTCATTCATTAGAGTAAACCCCGAGCAGGAGCAGCTCTCACCTCTCCCTGTTCTAACTCTGTTGTTCGTCTGACTCGTGCCCCAGCCCTCGCTCTCATTATTGGCGCTCTCATCCTGCGTCCGTACTTCTTATTATTCTGCTTGTGACCATTAGGCCTGTTCATCTCATTACTGTAATTCTGATTCAAGGCCCATACCTGCCATTACCGCTAGCACTCCGTCTCATTAAGGAACTCCTGTCACCGCCACAGTGGATGCAGCGGCAGCAAATTAGTTCTGATAGAAAAGTCTTCAATGAGACATAGAGTGGCATCAGGAAAAGATGCGAGTGTGTGTGTGTGTGTGTGTGTGTGTGTGTGTGTGGAAAAAGAGAGTAAATTAATGAAGAAATTGCAAGTACATATTTACGTGTGGGTTTTGCGAAAAGAAGGAGAAAATGAAGTGTGTGGGTGCATGCAGGTTTGTTTGTGTACTTAGGGTCTCATTTCAGTGTGTGTGTGTGTGTGTGTGTGTGTGTGTTATGAGATCTATAGCAACCTAATGGACCTATTTTCTCGTCGGAGTTGCTTCAAACGATTCAGTCGGAGCGAGGAACTAATGTGGCTATTAAGGCTGCATTAGCTTAAGTCACTGCCTCTCTCTCTCTCTCACACACACACACACACACACAAAAACTAATTGCGAGTTGTTTCAAATGTTTTCTTCTTCTATTATGAGTTTGTGTAAAAGCTATCAGCAAGGTCGTCCTCAAGCCGCTGAAGCACATCACAACCATGCTTTAAAATTTATGGGTGTTAACCTTTAAATGCGACTTTTAAATCTTATTTTCTGCTTTTGGTGTTAGCTCAAAATGAACCGAGGACACATTTTTAAAAACTCATTCCAGAGGTGTGACTTACCTTGCAAGCAAACAGGAATATCAAACTGGGAATCGTGCTCGTATTTGCTCCTTCTTTTCCCCCAGCAGCCGAGGTTGACTTGAGATCATCATGTTTGAAATCGAGGGTAAGAAACACAGCAGGTCTGTCTGCCATGCTTTATTGATTTTCATATTATCTTATTGATGGAACAACAGTAGCTCACACATCTGTTGAGGGAAAATGAAACTGTAGGGAGGGCAATTCAGACTCCCTGTATCTTAACAAACTGAGCCTTAATCCTGATAGAATATGTAATACTGTTTAAACTGCATGACTTTATTACTTAATATCTCTTGTATGTTTGTCTTTTCATTTAATACTTCTAATGAATCTCTACTGGAGAGACATAAAGGAGAAAAATAATTTACCCAATAAATAACCAGAGTACTGTAGGTGCAGAGAAATCAATTCAAACAGACTGCAAACAATGAACCCATGGCCATTACTTTTAAAATACAACACAGCGCACTATGTAAATATAACAGTAATCCATCATACCTGTTCCAGCCAAGTGGAGAGAGGACATTTTATAACAGCAATGCCTCAGTGTCAAATCCCACAACAGCCAATAAGTTGAGTTACTCTTAAGGAATCCCTGTGGGGGGATTTGTCTCCTACAACAGGCTCAAGTTACTGGTAAAGCTGAGCCAACTCCAAAGTCTTACATATTTATTCCTATTAGCCAACATACAGTACAAATATGTAAAGCTGCACATTACTTCTTACTCATGTCACTAAGAAAACCCTCAAACCTCCAATTTACATCAAGAATATGCGTTTCTACATGCGGAAATATGCTGGTACAACAGCAATAGGCAACAAGACAACAATGTGGCGTGGCAACCATCTTTCTCATACGCAGTTCCTTCAGCTGTTGGATATTAAAACCACTGTGTTATATATATTACACATATATTCTCCCACCCAACTCTTCCAAGAGTGGCCTCCCACTTCAAAATATGACGCTGTAGGTATTCTTTGCTCCAGTTAAGATTTACTGAACAGCAGCCTACCTTTTTAACGAGGAGGGGGGCCGTCCTCTTCTCACAGGGCATGAAACAGTGCTGGCGCTCATCCGGGTTCACGTGCACGTACTTGTGGTGCGCACGCCCACGTAGGTTTGACCCTGCAGACGTACGTTAAAGGTCCTTGAAGTCTGTCATTGGCTCAGCCAGCTGTCCATCAAAGTCTGCCAAGATTCCCTGCACAGAGAGAGCAAGAGAGAAGGATAAGAAGAGGGAAAAGGTTGAGAGGAGAGACAGGGAGAAAGGAGGGAGGCAGACGCGTGGACAGATGCAGCGAGAGGACGATGGAGCAGCCAAATGGCAGCCTGGCTGGTAAAGTTACATTTTCCTTCAGTCAGAAAAAAAACATCCATCATTGGGAAGAGAAGAAAGACCACGAGTGAAATGGAAAGTAAGAAAGCATCATGGGTAAGAAGAGGCACCATTCCTCCCTGTGGCTTATCAATGACAGAGTGACAGAGAGACGAAGTGAGGCTGAAGTTAAGACACAGCAGCAGCAGAACTGCTGCCTATTAATCAATCAGTGTCAAGCTGAAGCCATTGCACTCCAGCTCAGACAGCTGATGTTTGACTGAAAAACACATCCTTGGAGAAAGTGGAAGCAAGTGTCCTTCGATAAACAGGCCTGAAAGAACACAGCAGACAAGACAAGACAAGACTAAACAAGAGTACCAACACATTAAATCAAAATTAACGAAACCTGCTCAGCCTGTTCTCCTCAACACAACTATGAAAATAAACTGATGTGTGCTCGGCTAGCTCAGTAGCAACGCAGTTGGGTTGGGGTCCAGTAGCATTTTAATAAATCTGAACCCCGTATTGATTCTTCTTATTTAACCTGATACACTTTCAACATTTGTAAGTTACTGAAGATAACTCAAAGATTCAATTAAAAGTTGTGTTGGTTGAGAAACAAGATATAACAGCTACAGCTTATTTAATTTCATACCTTAGTTTTCACATCTTAACTGCCAATGCCTAAAATGGGCCAGTGCTCAAAGGTACTGAGTACCAGCACTTCTGATTATTGTCCGCATGAGTACCCTTACTTTACTGTTCATTGCCTTCGTTGGTTGGGTTCATTAGGTTTACAAATGAGGAGTGAGATGGTTAGGATTCCAAAAAAAAAAGTCAAGGTCACAGCCAATCAGAAGCTGAGTAGGGGCAGAATACGGGTGGGGGAAACAGCCACGTAACTGCATTCATGTGTTCGCACATAGCTAACTTAACACTGAAAAAACAGTGCTGAAAATGTGCTATATTGTGGTAATGGTTGTGCTGAATTAGGGTATTTGCACCTTTTTTTGGTTTAATTCAGTCACTGCTAATTACTCAAAATATGCTTGAAATAAGCTTAAAAGGTGGTCTTAACATAAAAGTGTAACTGAGAGACATCATTTCTCCTGTTAAACTAGAAAAACACAGCCAAGGTTGCAGAATCATGTGAGAATACTGTTCCTTTAAACGAGGATAGACATGGGAATGGAGGTAGCGTTTTTACCATACTACAGCAAAAAGTTTCATTAGACTTAGAAAACTTTAATGTCCTCTGAGAACCAATCTGTGGTACAGTACAAACATGTAGATGCAAATCAGATAAACATAAGAATAGTCTAAGATCATCATCATAAATGTCATCAGGGTCCAGGCAGGCATTTAAAGTGCATGTTTGTGTATCACATCCCCTAGTCCATGCATTTCCCCATACTCCCCATGGCTACCATCTTGTTTAATTGAGTTATTGCCATGGGTATAAATTAGTTTTTTGCTCCGTTGGTGCTGATCTCTGGGTATCTATCAACCTTGTGTGCTTTTAAACTCGGCCTGGTCAGGTACAGATGGTACAGGTCAACCTGCTGTCCTCACAGGTTTTCACAAGTTTGCCAAATGTATTCCTGCGAGTGATTTTAGAATGTCCATACCAGCACACAACCCAACACAGGATACTCTCAGTACAAGATTTATAAAATAGAGAAAAATGTTGTTACCAATTTTTTAAAAAGTTCAGTTCTTGATGTGAAGTAAATACAGTGTTGGCCCTTCTAAAAAACAGCATCAGCACACTGGTCCCAGCACAGTTTGTGCTCTCTTCTGAGGCCAAACACCAGTCGACAAAGTAATTTACTACTGGATCATGATTATTCTCCTTGAATAGGCTGACTAAAGCGGTGTCATCCGCAAACTTGACCCGGTATCTGCAACAACAACAGTCCGTGTATAAAATAAACAGCAAAGGTGAAGGGCGCCGCACCGTGGCGAACAGCAGCACAGTTTGGGTCTAGTTTGCAGCCATTAGAAATTTATGTTGCAGCTAAGATACTCTACAACCGGTCGGGTTTGACATTTTAACTGGCAAAAGCAACAACACAGGCAACTCTGACATTTACCTGAACTTCTTTTTTCCAAGAAAGAAGGGAGAGAAGATATAGGGTTCAATAAGAGTTTTGTTAGCGTTGGAACGTAACAACTCCACATATTTTGAGGCTCCATGGCTCCTTTTCCACCAAATTAGCTCTGGATCTTGAACCAGTGGAACCTTGGTGCTGTCACAGTGCTATCTAGCAAACCAGCACTGGTTTCCACCAGTTTTGAGTGAAACAATAGTAATTGGATGAGTCATCAACAGAGGGCGCAGCACAATGACACGAAAACCTGTTATTTTTCAGGTTTCAGGTTCAGAACAAATTTATTTTTGGCCAAAAAGCTCCAAACGGTTTAAACCCCCCCAAAAACTTGGTGCTTGAACTGTAACAGAGTTGGTCCCCTGTTGGTGGAAGGCCAGTAAAACCAGCATTTGGAACCAAACTGATTAATAGTAAAATTTGAGAAGATGAAACCATATTTTTTCTTTAACATTCATTATTAATCAAATTCTCACTATCTTCATTTTCTGTCGTTCACTGTAATTAATCAAATATTTATTTTTAGCAGTAAAAATAAAAAATTATAATAAAATAAATTACATGGAATATCAAAGGTGCTCAAAACTGCCCATCTTAGACTCTTAAATAATCTTGTCTTTGAAAATCACCAGTAAAATAAAAAGTCTAAAAGTATCATATTATAGGGAAACTGTCTGATGTTGTTGTTGAGTGCTTTAAAGCCACAATTACCGACAGATGGCTCCTGTCAGAACTATTTTCTCCAAACTGCATGAATGAAAACATAAAGACAGAAGGAAGCAGAGTCAAAAAAAAATGTATCCAGCCCTCTTGTTTACAAATTCACTTTCATTTTCATTTATGGAAATCTTCAGCGCAGATGGAAGATATCTTTCACCAATGAGGTCTCTGATTAAACTTTTTGTTTTTAAATCAGAAGAGAATCAACAATTTTTGTAGAGAAACACATGTCGGAATAATTGTTTTGTAGTTTTAGAGGCAAAATGATGAGATAAGAGTTTCAGAGAAATGAAAACATATGGTTGACTTTGTTCCATGTCACAATAGAAAGATAAATACACGTTCCATGATACTAGTGTACTAGTACCAATGTTTTAACCATTGAACATAGATACATATATGCACTAATAAACATTTTGAATGATGTACTGTAAGTGTTTCATGGTGTCAGTCGCTTCACAGTGTGCCTTCACAAAGACACTCATCCATCGTCATTGTTCTCAGACTCTAGCTAGATGTCTCAGAAATACATTCCAATACATCCACTGGGTACTACAGTGCACATGTGCGGAGGTAGTTGGAATATTTAGAGACAACATTTTTAATTTAAAAACTGTAAATAGACTCTTACCAACACCACACTCCCGCCACGACTCAGACTGTGAAACAGTTGTATAACGCACTGGTTCTCAACCTTGATGTCCAGATCCCCACTGGGGTCCCCAGAGGGGTTGGGACGCCTTCTTGATTGTGAAGGGTGTAATTAAACTTACATGAAATACCTATAGTCTCTGAATAAAACTAAAGTAACTTGTTGTTTTTATAGGGCAGATTGTTATTTAGGATATAAACTTGGTACTTTCACTCTCTGCTAAACAGCCCTGTCCTGCAAGCTAGGCAGTTAAAACAACCAAAGCGTTAATCAAGCAATGAGAGGGAAACACTGAATTTGTCAAAAAAGCAGCCTATTAATTTGTAAGATACTTGTAATGAAAATTTAAAAAATACATAATAATAACAGGGAAAACTCATCTCTGATCAATATTCACAGGAAATCTGCTCAAAATCCATCCAAGTCGCTCATTTTACACAAACTTCCCACAGTTATTGTGATCACTACTTGGGTTCATTGTACAGTTCATGACTTGTTTTGTACTGTTATTTTTTGTTATGGGAAATCTTAGATCTAACGTTTTGGGCCATAGAGATGTCTGCCTTGTCTCTTGGTATAACAAGAAAATAGTTCCTACATGAAACTGCTCAGAACAAGGTCTGTGGATTATCTTTCGTAACTGGGTCATGATTTCTGAAAAGAGACATTACTGATGAGTTTTTCAAATGTACTTTTTTGAGCACCACAAGCCATCTGGTTCCATTATACTGGAGAGAAGGCAGACATCTCTACAGCTGATATATCCAAAACTCAGCAACTCACACCAAAGCAATCTCGATGGATAAATAGCACTACAGATAAGAGGAAAACCCCATATGAGTTACTAGAAGTTAGTTTGTTTCAGTCTCTGATGGGGTGATTTTGAACTTCCTTCTATGAATCCGTCTCTTGTAAATCTACTCAAACGGTCCTTGGACGTTAAAATACGTCTACAATGCTAATTGTAATTTTTTGCACCAATCAGTGTCAAACTGTAGCAACCATGAAAGCGAGCACAAGCCTGTAGACTGAATTTCCAGGGCGGATCCCCCCTCCAGCGGTGAATTGTTGGAGGTGCAGGGGACGCCCGGCAGTCTGGTTGTCCCTTCAGCATTTCCCTGCTGATTGCACACAATTTGCAGAAAGAAGCTGACCTTGTCTGATGGTTGTCAAGGCTCTACATGACTGTTACCTCTGATGGTAAAACTCTAAGGAACAAACCGAGCCAAGCCGGTAACCTTTGGGAGTTAAAACATCACAGACAGATGGTGCGGAGTCCCTCTCACCTGCCTCCACTGTTTCCACTTTAATTTTGGCTAAACTGTCTCCCTCCTCATCCCTCTCCCCTCTGTCATTATTATTATTTATTAATCCCTCTAGTCTTTCGCCTCATAAAATATCGC